CCTAGTCTACACCCGCCTATGCTCTCACCTCAACGACAACAACCTCCTCGATCCCCTACAGTCCGGCTTCCGTCCCCTACACTCCACCGAAACTGCCTTACTCAAACTCTCCAACGACCTGCTAACCGCCAAAGCTAATGGCCACTATTCAGTGCTCCTACTCCTTGACCTCTCTGCGGCCTTCGACACAGTCGACCACCCCCTCCTCCTCAAAAAACTACACTCCCTCGGCCTCAGAGATTCTGCTCTCTCCTGGCTCTCATCCTACCCGTCACAACGCTCCTTCAGAGTTACCTATAATGCTACCACCTCCCCCTTACTCCCCCTCTCTGTTGGGGTCCCTCAAGGCTCTGTCCTTGGGCCCCTTCTCTTCTCCATCTATACCTCCTCCCTTGGCCAACTCATACACTCTCACGGCTTCAACTACCACCTCTATGCCGACGACACACAAATCTATCTCTCAACCCCCCACCTCACCCCCTTGGTCTCAGCCCAAATCACACACCTACTGAGCGACATATCAGACTGGATGTCGCTCCACTTCCTTAAATTGAACCTCTCCAAAACCGAGTTTCTTGTCTTCCCCCCAGCCCGGACACCACCCCCCATTGATTTCTCCGTCACATCCAACAACGCTACCATCAAACCCGCCCTGCAGGCCAGAGTACTGGGTGTCATCCTGGACTCCAACCTATCCTTCCAGTCCCAAGTCCAATCTTTAACAAACTCGTGCAGACTCCACCTCCGCAACATCGCCAAAATCCGCACGTTCCTAACCCCAGAAACCACTAAACAGCTCATCCACTCTCTCATCATATCACGACTCGACTACTGCAACTCCCTCCTCACTGGCCTGCCTCGCCGCTGGCTATCCCCGCTTCAGTCGATCCTGAATACGGCTGCCAGACTCATTCACCTTTCAACCGCTCTGTCTCCGCCACCCCCCTCTGCCAATCCCTCCACTGGCTTCCGATTGCGCAACGGATCAAATTCAAAATCCTAACCCTGACATACAAAGCTGTCCACCATACTGCCCCGAACTACATCACTGACCTAATATCCAAGTACCGCCCAGCACGCACACTCCGCTCCTCACAAGACCTCCTTCTCTCTAGTTCCCTGGTCTCCTCCTCCCATGCCCGCCTCCAGGACTTCTCCAGGGTGTCACCCATCCTCTGGAACTCCCTGCCCCAACCCATCAGATTATCACCTACTCTCCTCTCCTTTAGGCACACCCTGAAAACCCATTTCTTCAGGGAAGCCTACCCCACCCCCTGCTAACCTGCCGACCTCCTCCACTCTTCCTACCACTCCATCCCCCACAGCTATCTCCTCCTGTGCCACCATCCCCTCCCTCCTAGATTGTAAGCTCGAAAGAGCAGGGCCCTCGAACCCCTCGTGTATCACATTGTATTGGTATTGTTCTGTCACATGTTCTGTCCCCCTTTGTAATGTACGGCGCTGAGCGAACTATTGGCGCTTTATAAATACTGTATAATAAAAAAATAATAATAATTCTACATTTTCCATTTGTTCGCATATACACATAACATTTTTTCCCCAGTTTATTTTATTTAGATCACGAGTTGCATTACAGGTTCCATTTAAAGTAATCTGTTGCAATCTACAACTGTACTTTCTCTCATCATGCCTTTGCTTACTTTACAAAAGCTAGAAATAAGTTATACTGTTGACTCATTATCAGCTGATCTCATGAAATCATTACTTTAAATAAGGTAGCTAAACAAACTTGTTCTTCTTTCACGGTGGCTGTGTGCTTGACATTGCATTTGGCTCTGCAATCCTGATTTCTATTTGTCACATCAAAGTCGTGCGACTTTTAGTGCATCTTTAGAGTCTGACTTTGATATGACTTTGGAGTTGGGCTAGAGTGAACCGTGCCAGATTCCTGTGATGTACAAAAATGAGACAAAGACAAATCATTTCAGAACTTTTCCCACCTTTAATGTAACCTATAAACTGTACAACTCAATTGAACAAATTGAAATCTTTTAGGTGGATGGAAGTAAAAATAAAAAACTAAAATAATATGGTTGCACAAGTGTGCACACCCTTAAACGAATACTTTGTTGAAGCACCTTTTGATTTTATTACAGCACTCAGTCTTTTTAGGTATGAGTCTATCAGCATGGCACATCTTGACTTGGCAATATTTGCCCACTCTTCCTTGCAAAAACACTCCAAATCTGTCAGATTGTGAGGGCATCTCCTGTGCACAGCCCTCTTCAGATCACCCACAGATTTTCGATTGGATTCAGGTCTGGGCTCTGGCTGGGCCATTCCAAAACATTAATCTTCTTCTGGTGAAGCCATTCCTTTGTTGATTTGGATGTATGCTTTGGGTCATTGTCATGCTGAAAGATGAAGTTCCTCTTCATGTTCAGCTTTCTATCAGAAGCCTGAAGGTTTGGTGCCAATATTGATTGGTATTTGCAACTGTTCATAATTCCCTCTACCTTGACTAAGGCCCTAGTTCCAGCTGAAGAAAAACAGCCCCAAAGCATGATGCTGCCACCACCATGCTTCTCTATAGGTATTATTATTATACAGTATTTATATAGCGCTAAAAAGTTTGCTCAGCACTGTACATTATAGTGGGGGACAGAACATGAGACAATACAGTAACAAAACAAAACATGAGGGGGTCAAGGGCCCTGCTGTTTCGAGCTTACAATCTAGGATGGTGTTATTTTGGTGATGTGCAGTGCTGTTTTTACGCCAAACATATATATTTTAGAATTATGGCCAAAAAGTTCAACCTTGATTTCATCAGACCATAACACATTTTCCCACATGCTTTTGGAAAACTGCAGATGTGTTTTTGCAAACTTTTGCCACTCTCCCATATTCTTCATATGTCTGGGCTATGTGGTAGATTGTCGTCACATCTACCACACATCCAGTATTTGCTAGATATTCCTGAATCTCCTTTAATGTTGCTGGAGGCCTCTGGGCAGCCTCCCAGACCAGTTTTCTTCTCGTCTTTTCATCAATTTTGGAGGGACGTCCAGTTCTTGGTAATGTCACTGCTGCGCCTTATTTTCTCCACTTCATGAGGACTGTCTTCACTGTGTTCCATGGTATATGTCAGGGAACGAGAAGATCACCGTGGCGCACGAATCTGCATATGCGTAGGATTCCGACAAGACATACAGGCAGGCGGGTACTAGGACCCTGGCGCGCCTGTCACCAATGACGGCCAGGCAGGCACTAGGACCCAGGCGTGCCTGTCGGCGCTGGGCGGGCTATTTAAACCAGCTCTTGCAATGCTCACATTGCCCTATGGTCTTGTTCCTGCTCGTTCTGTTCCTGAGATTGCATTGCCGACCTAGCCTGACCCTGATTGCTGTTGACAGTCTGCTGCCCTGACCCCTGGCTCGTCTTGATTCTCTTCTGCTGTTCCTGATGAACTGACCTCCTGCTGCTGAACCTGGCCTGTGACCCGATTACTCTCTGCTTACTGCTCTGTACCGTTTGCCTCCACTGTTATCGACCCGGCCTGCCTGACTTCGCTATCTCTCCACGGTGTTGATCCGTCCATCCATCCTGCACGGATCCACCCGCTGCTGCCAGATCTGCTCTGCCTCTTCACAGCAGGCTCTGATCCGCTACATACCACTGGCACTTACCTCTACCACAGCTGGGTGTACTCAGGGGCCACGACCTTGTCTCAGCCTGCTCCAAGTCCATCCCCACCATCAGGGGCTCTGGTGAATAAGCAGACTGGGGCTTAGACTCCGTGCCCTGGGGAACCCCGGCCTGTGGATCTCTAGAGTCACTACCAGTCGGTACCTGACAGTATATCTAATGCCTTGGAAATTCTTTTGTACCCTTCTCAGGAAAGACCTACTAGAACAGCTGAAATTTGGAGTTAATCAGAGGCACTTTAAAATGATGGTAGGTGTGTACTGACTCTTTTAACACGATTTTGAATGTAATTGTTTAATTCTGAACACTGCTACATCCCCAATTACAAGAGGGTGTGCACACTTATGCAACCACATTATTTTAGTATTTATGTTTACTTCCCTCCCCCCCAAAAGATTTTTGTTAGTTTTTCAATTGAGTTGTACAGTTTAAAGGTCACATTAAAAGATGGAAAAAGTCCTGAAATGATTTAGCTTTGTCTCATTTTTTACATCACAGAAACCTGACATTTTAACAGGGGTGTGTAGACTTTTTATATCCACTGTATGTATGTATGTATGTATGTATGTATGTATGTATGTATGAATATATTGCCAAAGGTATTGGGACACCTGCCTTTACATGCACATGAACTTTAGTGGCATTCCTGTCTTAGTCTGTAGGGTTCAATATTGAGTTGGCCCACCCTTTGCTGCTATAACAGCTTCTACTCTTGTGGGAAGGCTGTCCACAAGATTTAGGAGTGTGTCTATGGGAATGTTTGACCATTCTCCAGAAGTGCATTTCTGAGGTCAGGCACTGATGTCAGAAAAGAAGGCCTGGCTCACAGTCTCCGCTCTAATTCATCTCAAAGGTGTTCTATCAGGTTGAGGTCAGGACTCTGTGCAGGCCAGTCAAGTTCCTCCACCCGAAGCTCGCTTATCATTTCTTTATGGACCTTGCTTTGTGCACTGGTGCGCAGTCATGTTGGAATAGGAAGGGGCCATCACCAAACTGTTCCCACAAAGTTGGGAGCATTAAATTTTCCAAAATGTCTTGGTATGCTGAAGCCTTAAGGAGTTCCCTTCACTGGAACTAAGTGGCCAAGCCCAACCCCTGAAAAAACAACCCCACACCATAATCCCCCCTCCACCAAACTTTACACTTGGCACAAGGCATTCAAGCAAGTACCGTTTTCCTGGTAACTGCCAAACCCAGACATATCCATCATACTGCCAGAAAAAGCACGACTTGTCACTCCAGAGAACATGTCTCCACTGCTCTAGAGTTCAGTGGCGGCATGCTTTACACTACTGTATCTGATGCTTTGCATTGCATCTGGTGATGTAAGGCTTGGATGTAGCTGCTCGGCCATGGAAACCCATTCCATGAAGCTTTCTATGCACTATTATTGTGCTAATCTGAAGGTGACATTAAGTTTGGATGTCTTTAGCTATTGACTCTGCAGACAGTTGCCGACTTCTGGGCATTGTGCACTCCAGCATGCAATGACCCCGCTCTGTCATTTTACGTGGCCTACCACTTCATGGCTGGGTTGCTGTTGATCCCAGTTGCTTCCATTTTGTTATAAAACCGCTAACAGTTGACCGTGGAATATTTTGTAGCAAGGAAATTTCACGGATGCACTTACTGCACAGGTGGCAACCTATCACGGTACCACGCTTGAATTCACTGAGCTCCTGAGAGCGACCCATTCTTTCACAAATGTTTGTAGAAGCAGTCTGCATGCCTAGGTGCTTGATTTTATAGACCTGTGGCCATGGGATTGGAACACCTGAATCCAATGATTACAATGCCCAATGTCCGAATACAATATATATGTAAAGCGCTGTGTAAATTGACGGCGCTACAGAAGTACCTGTAATAAATATTCACAACATATAACATAAGGAAAAGATTTCTGAAAACAGGACACACTGTTTGTGAACAGAATGCAGTCCATTTTCTAACTTCTGAGTCATCAATAGCTACAGAGGGTAGTTTCCAAGGCTGACCACACAATCATGAATCAGTCCCATCTCACCCCCTCCCCTCTGCAATATGTAGTTATTGTTATATGTCAATATTTGAACCGTAAATAGGCTCCACTTCATGCTTCAGATAGAACCTTCCTTTCCCAAGTCTATCAAGTTAGCTTTAAAATGCAATTTAAATACCTTCAGATTTTAAAAAGACTACTGTAGGTGATCAAACTGTAGGTTGGAACCCTCTAATTCTAGAGTACTCAAATTGTTAATTACACTATATTTGACATGTTCTATTAATGTATTCTGGTAATCTCAAAACAATGGCAAAACGACAGAGTTTAATAAAATAGGGATCTTGATATGACTAAAATTAGCTGCTCTTTTTTTAAATCGTACCAACTGTTAAAGAATGTGGACCTATCACTAGGACAGATCTTGGTGCTCGGAATTTGTGGAATTTGGTGTAAGCCACAACTAAAGAATAACTTGCCTTTTTGGAATGTTAACAGTTATTTATTTTTATTAGCAAATGATTACATTAAACAATGGTGGCCACACATGCACATTTAGCTTTCCCTAATTTTAGGGCTGCTTCACACTGGGAATAGCATAGAATGCACTACGCGTTCCTGTGCGAGTCAAATGCGGTGTAATTTCAGCACATTCATCTTGAATAGGTTGAAACTGTACCATGCCAGATGTACTGCATGCATTACTTTACAAAAGGCACTGCGACCTGTTACATGGTGCTTTGGTATCACTGAATCTACTCCAAACAAAATGCACTGCATTTGGGGTATTAACATTGACACCTGCTGCAAATCGCAAACTGCAGTGCGTTTTGAAAGTGCTGCAGGAAACGCGCATAGAACAAAGCATGAAGACACGGATGGATGGCACTCCCAAAATACCCGCTTTGTGGTACATCACAATAAATGGTAAGCTGTAGGGCACTTGGCTGCAAGAAATGGTGCAATTTTTTTGCACCTTTCGAAACCAAAATAAAAATATAGAAACTAAAATCAAGCACATCTAGACATGTCCACATATAAGGCCTGACAGATGGTTCAGCAAAACCTACAAAGGAAGAAAAAGGCCTTGGAAGGGCTTAGGTAAAATGAACAGAAATGTATACACTGTTCAACAAATTTTTATTTTTTGCCAGTTTTGGAAACAAAAGGATCCATTTCTTAATGAATTTCACATTCTGAGTTCAAATATAACAATGAAATTTGTCAATTGGCTCTAGTTTTTCTGTAAACGGAAAGTTTTCTACTATAGGCGTAATGACTACATAATGCACAATAATTATATAGATAGATGTCTTTCCACAAATATAAAGCAAGTGATATTGACTACATAACAAAGCCTAAATGGCATAATATATTGCATAGGATTACCAAGAAAAATTATAGCCTAAGCTAAGTTGAATCATTTTAATACTTAGGATTCTCACTAGTTTTGTCTTCAGTTTGTGTCAATTTTGCTTCTCTTGGCTTTTCTCTTGTATTCGAGGAAAGGGCTATCTCTTACAACTGCACGTGACTACACGCTTCAGGTTCTTCCTCACTTGACTCAACCACGAAGGATTCTGGTGCTTTAGGAATTGGTAGCCCTCTCCATGAGGAACTGGACGTATTGACGATGGAATATTTGGATAGTGCACAGCTAACTTTTTCTTCTTATTTAGCCCTTTTACAATTGGGAGGCACATACAAAAGTAACAATTACTAACATGATCTGTTGGCTCTCTCCAAATCATTGGCACAGCGAAAGGCATAGATGCCTTTTTTCCATTCAACATTGCTCCAGTGCCGTCCCACAAGAATTGCAGCATATATGTGGTGCCCAGATCTTGTCCTGGTCTCCTATCTTGCAGCCAAAATACAAGTTGTAGGCTTTCTTAATCATTCCATCCTCCTTTTTTGTGAGATAAAAGTTATTTCACTGCAGATATAGCAGAAAGGGCATTACTGAAATAAGCATAAAACGAAATGTAAACAGAACTACAATCAGCTACAGATACTGCAGCTTTTATGCAGTGAATGATGCAATTAAAGGCCAATATTGCATCATCTCAGTATACATGCAATTTTCTATTGGTCACCAGTATCAATTGTGCAATATGCAGCTGAAGTTGCATCATAATTTTGAATGCTTACGTCATTAGATGGGTGAATATATCATGGAAACAGCCAATCAACATTTTTTAGGGTCATTTTCATTTTCAGCACCCCAAAATTATGTAAGATTAGCTTGGAAATTTTATACCCAAAACTTTGAACACCTGTTGAACAGTGATATCATGGTTTGTTTTAACACTTGCACCATAAAGATCCCACTCATAATTTAGTTCTGATAATACAGTACCCACAGATCCTGCAGCTTTCTCCAATCCTCCAAGCAGTAGAAAAGGGTGAAAAAACAAAAAGAAAGCACAGATCCTAGCTCAGTAAATCTCTTATTCCAACATGCCTGCACAAACGCAGGGCGCATAGCTCGCACAAGTGTAAACCAGGACTAAATGAGGGGACAGTGATACAAGCTATGGGTTTCAGGACCTTAAGGACGGACGCTGCAAACCAGGGGCGGACTGACCATTAAAGCACTCGGGCACTGCCCGAGCACCCAGGGTCAGTAGGGGGCCCCATGAGATGCCCCTGGTACCTTTCAGAGGCTTTTTTTGGGTGTTGTTAGAGTGTGGGAGAGGACATAGGGGCCCCATGATCCCCTAATGCCCGGGGGCCCCATGAGTTGTCAGTCCTCGCCTGCTGCAAACTGTCCTGGGGGGTAGAGACCTGTAAGTGAAAGAGAAAATCAAAGCCCTGAAATCTGGTTTCCTCCCCTATTAGAAATGGGCTGTGCTGTGGGACAAACCTGTGTAAATCTCAATACTGGATGGACAGTAATAATAATCCTTTTGGCAAGTAAAACTGATCTCAGATACAGTATATTGCCAAAAGTATTGGGACAGCTGCCTTTACATGCACATGAACTTTAATGGCATCCCCATCTTAGTCTGTAGGGCAGGGGTCCTCAAACTACGGCCCCCCGGGCCAGATACAGCCCACCAAAGTAATTTACCCGGCCCAGCAGGACGGCCGAAAAAAAACGAGAAAAAAAAAAAAAAAAAAAAAAAAAAAAAAAAAAACACGGCACCACCAAATAGCTAGGCTGCTTGCTGGGTCCTCAGCCGTGAGGACCCAGCAAGCGGCAGCCTGGTGAAGAATCACCCCCTGAAATCAGGCTGATTTCTCTGCAGCCAGAGGAGCAACAGGAGAGAAGGAAGAGAGCACACCAAACACAGTGTGTTACAGAGTACAGTGCATTTTGGTATCCAGTGCGTTACAGAGTACAGTGCATTTTGGTATCCAGTCCGTTACAGAGTACAGTGCATTTTGGTGTCCAGTGTGTTACAGAGTACAGTGCATTTTGGTGTCCAGTGCATTACAGTGTATTTTAAATATTGTATTGTTTTTTTTTCCAGTTTTTTTTGCACTACAAATAAGATATGTGCGGTGTGCATAGGAATTTTTTCATATTTTTTTTTCAACTATAGTCCGGCCCCCCAACAGTGTGAAGGTCAGTGAACTGGCCCTTTGTTTATAAAAAGTTGGAGGACCCCTGCTGTAGGGTTTAATATCGAGTTGGCCCACCCTTTGCAGCTATAACAGTTTTAACGATTCTGGGAAGCCTGTCCACAAGGTTTAGTAGTGTGTCTATGGGAATGTTTGATAATTCTTCCAGAAATGCATTTGTGAGGTCAGGCACTGATGTCGGACGAGAAGGCCTGGCTCGCAGTCTCCTCTCTAATTCATCCCAAAAGGTGTTCTATTGGGCTGAGGTACAGGCCAGTCAAGTTCCTCCACCCCAAGCTCGCTCATCCATGTCTTTGCACACAAGTGCACAAAGCAATGTTCATAGTCATGTTGGAATAGGAAGGGGCCATCCTCAAACTGTTCCCACAAAGTTGGGAGCATGACATTGTCCAAAATGTCTTGGTATGCCGACCCCTTAAGAGTTCCCTTCACTGGAACTAAAGGGCCAAGCCCAACCCCTGAAAGACAACCCCACACCATAATCCCTCCTCCAACAAACTTTACACTTGGCACAATGCAGTCAGGCAAGTACTGTTGTCCTGGCAACCGCCAAACCCAGACACGTCCATTGGATTGCCAGACAGAAGCGCGATTCATCACTCCAGAGAACATGTCTCCTCTGCTCTAAAGTCCAGTGGCAGCAAGCTTTACACCATTGCATCTGATGCTTGATGATGTAAGGCTTGCATGCAGCTGCTCGGCCATGGAAACCCAATCGGAAGGCCACACAAAGTTTGGAGGTCTTTAGCATTGACTCTGCAGACAGTTGGCGACTTCTGTGCACTTCAGAATGCGCTGACCTCGCTCGGTCATTTTATGTGACCTGCCACTTCGTAGCTGAGTTGATGTTGTTCCCAGTTGTTTCCACTTTGTTATAACACCACTAACAGTTGACCGTGGAATATTTAGCAGCAAGGAAATTTAACGGATGGAATTCGTGATTGCAAGCGTTGTACAGTGATAGGTTGCCATCTGTGCAATGAGCTCTTGAGAGCATCCCATTCTTTCACAAATGTTTGAGAAGCAGTCTGCATGCCTAGGTGCTTGATTTTATACACTTGTGGCCATGGAGGTGATTGGAACAGCTGAAGCCATTGGTTTGAAGGGGTGTTCCAATACTTTTGGCAATATAGCGTTTGTTTTCAGCTGTTTTTTTTTTTGTTTTTTTTTTTTTTTAGAGTTCAG